CTGATTATCGTCGGGCTCTGAGGCTTGCTGTAAACTAGATGGATGAAATCGCATCAAGCGCCAAACTTCATCACTCCGACTTGCATCGATAAAGCACTCCTTTCTATGTTCAAACCACTTATTCTCTACTTGATTCACGTATGCAGATACCGCGGGCCTTCGACCGTGAGCATAGCACTCCTGTATGTCATAAATACTGGACGTTGACTGCTTCAGGTGCTAATTTAAGCAAGTAATTGCCTCTGGTTACCAAAACGAAACGGACGTCATTGAAAGAGTACACGGTGTTTATGCTTTTGTATAATAGAACGTTATAATTTACAAAAATTACCCTGCTATTTACCCTTTTCAAGCTGGATTTGGCGTGTTAGGAGTCACGTGACGTGCCACGTGATGCCGTCTTATTTTTAAAGCAGCTACATTTAACTCTCTTTTATAAGATTAGTGAAAGTTCCTATGTTCCCCCCCATCAATACGCGAGAAAAACTCAAGGTAATGCATTATCTAGATACCAGCCTCGTTTCCATGCTGAGCGCTCCACTGTCTTCAGAAAAACCTATACTCGAAACCTATACCACAATTTGACAGTACAAACTAACTAACGTTAATCTGTAGGACTTGTTCTACAAGAATCCGTTGTCAAACCTTTTCTAACTCGCGGGTTGAACAAAACTGCCCTTGGCTGCTCGACTATTATATTCCTGTACTCTCACAAGAAATTTGAGACAGCACGCTGTCAATACGAAAGAGATGTAATGCGTTTTGAATGTTCGTTAGGTTTACCCATCTACATTCGTCGGTTTGTGCCTACTTAATGCTACAGTTATTGGCCTTCATTCCAAAGATATTTGAGTTTTAAAATTTTATGAACCATTTTTCCAGAACCAGTTGATAAGAGTTTTATGTTTTATCCTTTGAATTTCGTGTTAGGGTGGAGTTAGACAATCAGCTTTATGTGAAGTACAAGGTGAGTTTTTCACTGTAAGTATAATATGAAACTTTTTTATTTTTCGTTAGCGTTAGACACAGAAAAAAAAATCGGAATTCATTGGAAGGATTCTAACAATGTTAACATTTGGGATACCTGAGTTTCAAGATTAGTCGTGCAAGTCTTATGCTCTGTATTTTGTGTGCTATTTACTCCTCACACCCCCTATAAAGCTGTAGGCTTAGCGCGCAAAACTATTCATCCTACTTAGAGCAATTTTTAGTCGAAGGTCAAAAGTTATCCAGGACTGCTTTGGTTTAGCTTTACTTCGCTCTGTGATTGGTCCAGAAAACCTGCGTCATTTTCTTAACCAATCAGATGCAAAACTTAAACTAATCACGACTTGGTCGAACGCATTTTCCCGCAGTTTAGGCAGTTTGGTCAGGGTCGCGTTTTCCCGCGCCTTAGGTAGTTTGCTTGTTTTCACTTTGAGCTTTCTTTGGCTCTTAAAGCTATTTTCCTTTCTTCTGATTGGTCGTTGTAATAATTTTGATTTTGGCGTATGACATAATCGAAAGGAGCTCTATTTTTAGAGGATTTAGTTCAAAAGATAATTTTTTGTGACTTGCTTTCTGTTCTTTCAACTTAGTTGATTGGGAAAAAACGCATTGCAGTTCCGACGCATTATTTTAAAGTCATTCTGGGAGAAACCATGGATGATCAGTTAGAAATACAGGTAGGTACTTTTGTTTTGTCTTTGCCGTTCACGTCAGTTTTCAAGTGTTGAGGGCATTTCTACGGGGTGTCGCAAACCAGAACAAAAAATCACAATACCAGACCAAAGGAAGATGTCACAGTTAGCCAATGACAGCTCAAAGAAATAACAAACTGCCTGTAGCGCGCGAATACGCGGGTGGTCAAAAATGATTGGTGGAGAGTGGAGCACGAATTTTTTAAACCAATCAAGTTTAACTCCTGTAGTGATTTATAGTGAAATCTACGTGAGATTCTCTGCGCTGCAAGATAATCGTTAGCTACCATGGCATAGGGGATTTTAAATTTAGTTCTTTTGGATCGAGCCCAGCTATATAAAGGTTCTGCTGAACGTATATACATTTGCTTGACCAAAAATTTTAGAAATAACTAGGAATTGAAAAAGGCTTGAATTAAAAAAACCTGAATATGCTTGAATTGAAAACGATAAACTTTGCTTTGGAAATTCCAAACTTTAAGAGTATAAGGTGACCTCTTGTCAACGTAATGCGGGTGCTGTTCACATGACAAAAACATCCTAATCACGTGTTTACTTTTCTCTCGCTCCAGTCGTACATATTGCCCAATCAGCCAATCAGCGAGATGACACCGTTACACAACTTCCAGGTCCCAGTTGACACGATCGAGAAAGCTTCAGGACTAATTTTATTCGACAAAATTCCGCGAAACGCTTTGAAACAGATTCGACCGGTGCTCACCCCTAACAGCTGACAAGGAAGGCAATAACGTGTGTGGTGATGATAAATAGTTTCCAAGATTTGACTTATATGGCCTGATCTAGGCTCTCGGTTTGTAGAAGCGAGCAAAAGAGAGCGGGGGTCTAGGAAGGAGTCACGAGGAAGATCCTCTCCCTAGTCCCCACACGTTTTTTTCCTTTATGTTAGGTGCCTGCTACAGGCCAAGTATGATCAACGGGCAAACCCCAACATGCCATGGGCATCTAATGTCTCCTAAAAATTTCAATACATTCTCTACAGAACAGGCTAGGAGAACAAACTAACTTGTCGGCTAAATGGATGAGTTCTGTTTGTCAAGTATTGTAGAAATCAAGTTAGCCGGACTGAGTAGAAAGTGCTCAAAAGTTCAAGTCTGGCAAATATTGCTGGTTGAAATCTAAGTTTTTAACATGGCACCTTTATTTGTTTCTTGCCATTGACTTTCACAATATTGTCGTATTCATATGAAATTTTAAAGAAAACATTCTGAAAATGACTTAACTACAGTATTATTAGATACATGCTAGCGTTTTATTCAAAGAGCGTAAAAGCGTGACACCGTGATGGGTGAGTCACGGGATGTACAAAATGAAGTCATGCAAGTCTTCATGCATTAACATTGTTACACTCGCATGTATCCGTATTGATATGCTGGTTTTGAGCATTGCACTTCTCCTGAAGAACGGCTTTGCAGTGACATCCACAGTTCTTGAAGTCCCACACTTTGTGCACGTGATCACAGTGTCGTTCTGCCTCGTTACATTTACACTCACATTTATTGTCGTCAAATTTCTGGTTGTCTGCGCAGCTGCCTGCGTTAGCGATACAATCACACCCGCAAGTGTCTTGGTTCCAGGTTTGTTTGTTTGGATCGCAATCGCTCTCTTTAGCGATACAATCGCAGCTACATGCAGTGTGATTGTACAGGACAGTATTGACAACGTGAACTTGGTTGCCTACTAATTCAAATATTGTAACAGTAATGGCGTCTCTTTCAGTCACAGTGCAGTGTTCGATCTCCTGATTGAACGGGCAACTTCCAGTGCAGCGGTTTAGGATGACGTAATCAGGGAAGGAGCGAACGTGAGGTCCCTTAGGTATTCTGACGGCGACTGGTCTAGGCTGACAAATGGCTTCGCGTGGATAGTATGCGGGGTTGTTTACTATCAAAATACAATAAATAACTTAGTACCTTCTGTGCTTTCGGTTTTAATACCTTGCCATAGAAAACAAAGTAATCTGTTATTATCAACTAAGTTGAAAATGCAAATTGGTCACCGTAAAGAGTTTAAAAGCTGACGTTCCGAGCGTAACCCTTCGTCAGAGTGAATGGAGGAATTGTGGGTTGCGTGTGTGTGTTTATATTCAGAAAGTGGAGCTTCTCTATTGGTGGGAACATGGTGACGAGGGAAATTTTTTTGAGGCTTAGCATAGAAATAAAACCAATAAAATGAGAGGTATTCTAAGCTGCAATATTCATCCTACCGAAATTTTAATAAGCGGGATGACCATTAACTACAGGTTCCACAGATAGGGGGTATTATAAAAAACGATAAGCCACGCCACTTTATGCCATAATTGACCAATTAATGTACAAAATCTCGCTCGAAAATACTACTTACTTCGATTTTGGGAGAGAAACATGGATTCTTGGTTTGTTGGAATGGTCCCACTGTTAGGCTTAGCCACAAGTTGCTCGGCAACTTTTGAGATTTTCGGCAACTTTTAGAATTTTGGCAACTTTTAGAATTTTCGGCAACTTTTAGAATTTTCGGCAACTTTAGGCTTTTTGAGGTTCTTTGAAGCCACTTTCTTTACGTTTTGAGCCCCATTGGTCAGTTTTCGATAGACATAATAAAATTTATTCTAAAATACAATAATTAGGGGCCCCCCTTGGGTTGATATTTGTGATGCCATATCACGAGGACAGCGGTATCACGTTTTTCAAGATTGCGGATAACTACAGTGACTATTTCTTGATCAAGTGAAATGGAAAGAACCTCTGCTATTATCATTGGACTTTGACAAATAAAGTTTTGATAAGAAGCAATATGTGAATTTTTAATCTTTAACACCCAAAAAAGGTACGAAAAGCAGAAAAAGTTTGGCAACTTTTCGGCAACTCTTTGGAGATTCAGCAACTTTTCGGCAACTTTTTGGCAACGTTTAGATACTTTTATCGGCAATTTTTATGGGATTCATCGGCAACTTGTGGCTAGGCCTACCCACAGTCAGTTACCGTTAAATACAGGTGGAGGACAATAAAAAGCAGGCCTTTGAGACTCATTAAAGGCCAACCGCTCAAGAAAGGTGACCGCTAAATATATATGCGTTATTAACCAAGCGTGAAGTCCAGATGGCTGAATGTTGGTCGAGTTCTTTTTTTGCATTTTTATGGTCGAGACGAAGTAGAGGTCCATAAAAATGCCAAAAAAGAACGAGGCTAATATCCAAGCCAACTTGACCGTACACGCTTGATTAATAAAGGATTTGTTATATTAGATTTCGCTTTATTAAGAATTAAGGATGACTTGTAAACTTCGAGAGTCAGGAAAGAAAGCCAACTGTGTTTGTAACACAACGTACTCACAGAGTCATTTCTGTTTTCTTTGTTTTGACTATCTTCTGCCGCTTTTTGCGTTTCCATCGCCGACATTGTCCAAGAAGTACAAACGTAGTTCTAATTCAATTTTTTTATCCGCGGGATCAATGCGGGCAATCCCGAGCGGTCAAGATGTGCCCATCTTGCCCACTCGGGTAGCCAATCAGAACACAGGATTCGCTTTATCTTGCCCACGGACGCTGCGAGCGATGTAATAAAGGTGGATATTACTATTATTAAGGGGAAACAAATGCTGGACTTTGACTTTTGACCGCTTAATACGGTGCTATTTAATACAGGTTCGATTATACCTAAATTTTAACTGTCTCTTAGGAAATTTCCGGTCACCTAACACGTTTTAACCAACCATGTGAAAGCGAAAATACCTGACAGACCGTAATATATGCCTTAGAGCAGTTACTTACATTTCGTAGTTATGACGCCCTTGGAGTGCTCTGGAGTATCACTCAAGGCCTGGGATCTAGTGGTTGCGTCATACCGCCGAGCAGATATGGCGGACACATCAGGTACGTAAATTGGCCGGTTCCGGTGTAACACACTGCCCAATGGTATTCCGGCTTTGTGAAGGTACTCTACAAATTCTCGAGGGAATTTATTTACCTGCCGGGAAAATTTTAAGATGAGTGTCGCGTAATTATGAAATAATTTAAATTTACTGCCCGGTGGTTTCGTATAAATGGCCACAAACTTAGAACATATAGAAACCACGGGTGTATAGGTAGAATAAAAGACCAGTCGGGGAGGGGGGTAGGGTCAGAAGAGACGGAGAAGGGATCAGTCGAGGGGGGTGGGGTCGGGAGGATTTTGGGAATCGCATTAGAGTACAACGGAGTCCGAGGGGGATCAGGTAAATTTTATTGTGACACGACCAGTAGCTCTTAGGGTCAGAGCCACCATAATGAACAGAATGAGATGTATTACCCGTGAGCCTTCATTTGAATGGTCACGTCAGGATTTGATAAACACGACATAACGGTTGGAACCCATTTTTTTACAGCAAAATTAACTAGTTTTTACGTGTAAGAATATCAATGAAAAAACTACGCGCATATGATTGGTTGGAAACCAGTGCATTTTTCATGTATTACGTTTTCAAAATTGTATCACGAGTTCAGTCCTTAGGCTCGATTTCTGTCGCTCCCTGAGTCCGGGCTTTATTGTTTGGGGAGGATCGCGAGCTCCGGTTCCTGAACAGTGGCTGGTAATCGAGCTTAGGAAGTCCCTTAGCCTAATTTTTCAGATTAAAAAAATTCGTTGATTTGTGTTCAAAAGAGATTAAATTTTATTGTGTTTTTTCAGTTTTGCTTGCCATAAACCGACTGACCTAAACGATATCCATAGATACTAATCGAGGGTGTTTAAGTCAAACAACAAAAAATATTTTCATCTATTTTAAGATAACTATGTACCTTTACAGCAGCTTCATGTCTGTGGACACCCTTATTAACCCGTGAGTGACCAAGACAGAATTTCTTCTTACAATATTATTACAATACCAAGCACACGAGTGATGAGAATAAAGAAAAAATATCAGTATGGGAATTTTTCTTTGATCCAATACCAAATTCTCCGATACTACTTCAAAGGAATAGTATGGCAGACAGTAAAGAGAATTACACAAGAGATCTTGGAAGTGAAATGATTAAAATTTCAGAGTGGTTTTTATGGTAATAAAAATTGCGTTCACCAAGAACACAAATTAAAACTCGTTTGGAATCATTTCTTCACCAATGTCCTCTCTTTTTTCTGTTATCTCGTTTGTTAATTTCAAGTATGAGCAGAAATAGTTTACTTAATTTTTAATTCGTAATTACAAAAGCTAATACTGGATCAAATTTGAATAACTTTTAGAGATGTTTGCTGAAAATTTTCTTAATTAAAGCTTATTGTAGTAGTGCACACTACCAGCTGCCGCGCATGTGCCATTCAGATTGAGCAATACTTTTCACTTCCCCTAGCTTGAGAAGGAGTACACAATTCTTCTTTTTTAGAGATTGGACCAGTGTAAAAATCTCTACACAAGAGAGATACCTTCACCCGGGGAACAAAAGCTTTCAAACCTAGGTGCGCTTTCCGTTAAGATTTCCGGCTTTGGGGTGCTTCGAACGCTCTCGCCCAAATTTGGAGAACTTTGCTAAACGTATAAGTTTGAGCTTAATATTGTTCCGGAAATCTTGCAATGAAACCTAAGATTTGCACCCTAAGCTGGATAATGATGGCTCTCGCAGCCTACTAGTTTTGATAATGAAAGGACTTGTGAGACAAGTTTCACAATTAAAGGGAAAATATCACATTGGCGAAACAAAGAAGATAAGCAAACGCTGTGATAGTTTAACAACAGGAGGTTGAGGTTCGTTCGTCGACTGATCAGAATCCGTTGAGACGTCAGTAAATGCTGCAGCGAATTTTTTAGCCATGAAATCGGCATAAATTCTCGATGTAACTGGAATTTTTCCTCGGGATTTTTGGATATTGCTGTTGCGGTTGACAGGGAGCATGTTGGCTCAGGAAGGGTGTGAAAATCTACTTATCGTTTCAGCGAAGTACGCTGACATAACCTTGAAGATATTTCCCCAAGATTTCACCTCTGCGATTTGAATCAAAGGAAAACATGAGAGATTCTAGATTCTGTTCTTCAGGGTGAAAGCGTATTGTTTCAATCCCTCGTGTTATTTTTCTTGTGTTTGATCAGCTTTTTTGATAGACTGAAAGCCAAAGTTTCTTTTAGCGAAAAGAAGTTTGCCACGAGTTTCAGAATCTATCGTCTGAATTAATGGCTATAATAAGGTAACGTCGAATTGAAAAAAATATTCAGTTAAAATAACTCACCTTTGGTTCTGTAAAGGAAAATGGCGCAAGAGCGAAAATGAGAAACATCCGTGGAAAATACATGATTGTTATGGATACGAAACCCAACGCAAAAAACGCTAATAGTGGCGTAAAAGGCACATTTGAACTGCTGTTTAACCAGAAAATTGAGGGAAAATGTCGTGGTTTATCATTGGCTAATGAAATCGTGATGTCGCGATATTTGCTTCTCCGGATCAGATGACCTAACTTCTCTCTGCGTCTTAAGTGTCTCATATAATTCCTTTCTTAAAACGTATACAATATTGCAATATTTTGATTTCGTGTTTTACGTAACAAAAAGGATACCAATGTTCAGTGTATAGTTGGGTTGTAATAACAGATTAAAGATTTCTGCTCTCTTTTGTCAATGGTGGTGGTCCTTATGTATGTGTTGTAGTTCAATTTCATCCTTGGTTCAAATTTTATTTTCCTTTGTTCTCGGTCATGTTAATGTATGATAATGAGATACGATGAAGATATGAAGTTCATATATTTTGGAATGCGGTATTAAATACGTATGATGCACGATCCTTCGCAGTAGATAGCTTCATATATTCATTGTATCTGATTTATCATCACGGGTTTATTACGAATCAACTTAACAGCCTGCTCCCAGTTGGCTTGTTAGCTCAATTGGTAGAGCGCTGCACTAGTATCGCAGAGGTGGTTCGAATCCCGTACAGGCCTGATTTTTTTCAGGTCTGATTTTCGCTAATGCATAAATAGCGCTATCTACTGCGAAGGATCGTGCATCATACGTATGATAATGAGGTTGAAACAAAGGAAAATAAATTTTGAACAAAGGATAAAATTGAACTACAACATATGTATAAAGAAATAATATTATCCAAATCGTGGGCGGAAATTAGCGCTCAGCCAAAAATTGCCTATTTTCAAAAGGTTCTAGACACGTTGATTTTTCACGAGAGTGTTAAAGTCGTGCAGTTCACTAAAATTAGAATTTCGCGTTTACAAGAACGTAATTTTCCCTAACAACAGCCGCTGAAGTCAATGTGATCATTGCACAAATTCAAACCAGTATATACTCGTGCCTGTTTTTGAAAATTGTACGATAGATACAGAAACCTTCACAAAAATTCTTTCTGACACACGAAGAAAATTAATTGTCTTCGTGGTTTCCGCCGACTAAGTTACGGCCTTTACAGAACCTTTACATGGGTCCAGTTTCAGAGTTCCGGGGATTTCGTTTGACTTAGAAATCACATATCGCGTTCCCTTTAAACAAAAAAGATTTGCAATTGCTTTACATCGCCGTGGAAAGTTGTAACACTGCAAACGAACTCAACTTTGTTGTTTCTGCTTCCGCTTTGAAGTAAGTCCTATATAATCATTTATTTCTTTGATGACTGACGCCATTTTCATTTCTTGTCACTATGAGTTTGCGAAACTTAAAAATTTTTCAATTTTTGAAACTTCCCGAGTATTGTAAAATAAAAGTGTTGCGATTATCAACTGCTCCGTATGACGTCTTGTTTTCAGGGTGTGTTCCACATTCACCAAATAAACTGAACAGTTGATATCGACCACAAGTCTCCCATCGAAATAACCTACAGTGCATCCCAAGAACTCACCACAACAAGCCCATAAAGTCGACTCTTTTTGAAAGCACTTGTGTGTTTTTTGAGTTCCGAGTACCACTTCAATGAAACATCTTAAATTTATCTAGACCAGATAACCTTTTCTGAAAATGCCGAATTTCAGGTACAAAGTTTATGCCATTCCTAATCCAAGTTACTATGAATAGAAGTCTTAATAAAACTTATGACTGTGGAAGGCTTTCGAGGCACCATCTGACTTTATATACTTTCCGATACTATTTTCGATGATTGCCCAAGCCATCGATTCGAAAACATTAGAGTTGCCAGAACCTGCTCTTTTACCCTATTTATTTATTTATTTATTTATTTTTTAACATGCTAAGGCATGTTAGTCGAGTGGGTTTGTGTTTAAGATTTAAAAACCCTGCGTCACCAAAACGGGTTTATGAAAGTATTGCAACGAAAAGAGTTGTGTGTTGCTCCTTCGTTTACGGTCGCGTCGAAAAGTACGGCTGTCTTAGGAAACTTTAACTCATAGTAATGGCTTAACTATTCATTTTAAACGAGCTTTCTTTAATTAAGAGGCTTTTTTTTTTTCGCACTTCTTGTTTGGGAAGGCGGTTTAAAGAGACTTCATTAGGAGAGCATCTTTGCGTAGTGCATCCCGTACTTATCCGTGGCTTTCATCCGAAAAGCCTTAGAATTTGGAATTTGCTCTTTAATGATAATTTTCATTCCCATTTATTCTGCCTTTTTTTTCGGTTTACGTATTGATTTCAGTTAGCTCCTCAAGAAAAATCATGTTACTGAAACAATTTCTGCGTAACTCGTTGAGCTCGTTTTTGTAAAATAAACAAAATCTTGACACCATAAAAAACCATACATTTGAAGCGGTGGAAATCTCAAAACCTCAAGACTTTAAAGCTTTCAATTGATACTTTTTCGGCATTTTTAGTATCTTGGGGCCGTGATGGCTATTAATTTAAATTTCTTGGCAAAATCCACGAAAGATCTAAGACATCTTTATTCACTATAACCTCTAAAGAGTTTGAAAAATATTTATTTCTTAAACAGGATGGTTTGTCAAGTCCCCTCAATCTCCCTTCCCCTATAACAACAGCGTTGATACTGCAACCAACCGTTCCTTTTATAGCATGTACGTCCATCAGACTTTTTTCCGCATTTTCTTTGAGTGGGGGCAAGTTTAGATAAGACTTAATTATCTAGGTATCATAGGTGAATCCAAGTTTTATCAAGTAAGCTTTCACTATTTTCGAAACCCTCAAAAAGACAAGAACCTTTTCCCGGATAGGAAACTCTAACACTACACCACCATTATGAAGTCATCTGTGCGAATACTCTAGAAATTTTAAAAAATTTTGACCTTTTTTCTGGTTGAGTGAATGCATTGTATCTAAAACAAATAAATTTAAAGTCCTCCTTCAATTTAATCCCAATGGATTATTCAGTGTATTGTGAAATTCTGTGAGACAAAACACAAAGCAATTCGCCGGATGAAAGATTTCTAAAATAAAACATTCTTCAACAATAAACATGGCAAAGATTTATCAGTAATTGTACAAGTGGAATGACGCTGAAGGCTAGTAAAATTTCCGGTTTTGCAAAAGACATTCTCACGGCAAAAGTTTTTGCCTTTACGAAAACCGTGTTATCTTTCAAACGTTTGTCCTAAGAACAAACCGGTCCTTAATTTAAATTTATTGATTTACCAAACACAATTTGGACCCACTGAGAGTTTTTGGATGCAAAGGAATTTTAAAAGTTGCTGGTGTATGTTCAAATCTTTACCACATCAAAATTTATATTTTTGATTCATTTTACTCTATCAGCTTCGATTTGAAGTTTTAATTTGGTTCTGTTGACCGAACAATTCGTTCAAATTGCCCGCGCAGCTCTTTTCTTATTTCAAACGTTGTTGACAGAAACTCAGTTGCGCTTTTTTTAAATATTTTTAAACCGCGGACTCTCTCTTCCATAAACTTGAGGAAAAACTATAGCTATTTCGCAGTCGTAACTCACCTTTGATTCGACAGGAAGATCTTGAAGAAATAGCAAAGAACAGAACAGAACCAGACCGAATGAAGACATGTCTGTCGTGAAACGTTTATACTACATTGATTTGTCGAACTGTTATGCAAATCGAGTTTGAAGTCGGCGATCCGTGACTTTGGAACGCAATACGACTGTCATTAAATGACGTTGCCATTTGACAACGAAACACGTTCGAGTAGACACAAGAATATTTTTCAAAACAAAAATATTACAAAACAGCATCGACTAGGTTTAATCGCTCATTATGATATCACATACCAGTTCTGTCTACTTGAAGACATCATTAGCCGATAAACGTGACAGGACATATTCAGATACTGGTATTAAACGGGAAAGAAAAACGTGAAATCAGCCATTTACGTAGAGAATGATTTATCGTAGCTTGAGGTCGAACATAATTTCCGATTTATATTAGGCGAAAAGGACAATTTAAATCCTTTTTAGCGCATTCTTGGCGTTACCCGTTGCAGATTTTTTGGTGACTGTATAGGGTGTCAAAAAATAACGTTCGTTCATTCAAATATTTTATTTTTAGTTAATTGTTTACTTTTCAAACTGTTATTGTGTGCTTCGCTGAAGTTGAAAGTCTGCGCGCGCTTTTTTTGATCGGTTGTAACGGTCATAGTGTCAAGATATTTCCGACATGTGTTCATCGCTGATTGAAACTGTAAAAAACTTTGTGAAATCTGGTTGACCTTGCCACTGACGTCATAATATCTTCAGAGCGAGTGAAATGTTTCGGGTCAGTAAGCCACTGATCCCAGATAAGCTGTCAGGATTGAGTTATCTTGATGGACGTGAGCCGAAGTTACTGATCACGAAAGATTAGAATAAATCACAGAATTAACACTGATATAATATTTGGCTGGAAAAACTGAAAACCATGCGCAGATAAAGATTTCATCCGTCATTTAGCACAACTGCAATGCTTAATTTTTTATGATCCACTGGCCGGATTTTTAGCGTCCTGCACACCGACTGCATAGATACTCGAATTTTTAACCTGACCAAAACAACGAGATTTGCCCTGGTTCGTATCGAATCGATTTGAAATTTGGCATTAATTACATCCGTTTGCAGTATTAAAAAAAAAAAAAAAAGGAGAATAGAAAGTAACCTATCGCATCGTGCTAAAATCAATCAGTTACAGTGAGAGATTAAAAATAGTTAATATTCTCTTGATCGCAGTTGATTTTATCGTCGTATGATAACAGCCTGAGTTACTGGAGATCTCCTCTCCCTCCCCTCCCCTCCCCCCCCCGAAACTACAGAATTCCCTCACAAATCCGTCAGACGTACCTCAGGAGATTCCTTATGATTTTACTCTAATTTTGGATCGTACCCTCTGATTCAGGACGTCTCCGTCCAGTTTCGATCGGCTCTGTATGTTATTTGGAACAGTCTGTCCGCAATTAGGAAACATTGCATTGAATATTTTACTTCTGTTTTGATGCACAAAATAATTAGCAAACAACCACAAACCTAGTCGAAATTATGAATGAATGTTCAGCATCAGCTTGGCCATCGTTCTCGACACTTTTACAACTGCTTGGCCGTCAATTAATCATACTCTTAAATAAACGCTTTCTTGTACTGCTCCAGCGAACGCTTTCATATCATAGTTAATAATCAACCGGTACTAAGAGTGCGTCACGTACGTCACTCGTTATTCAATCGTTCAACCATGAGCGCAGTTATGGGTCTAGTTTTCGGGGGCGACGACACTAGAATCAGGGGCAGTGTAACTTGGGAGAAAATCTCAAGTAAAAAAATTAAAAATGCGGTTTTTTATAACATTGTTTTTCAAAATAGAATGCGACTTTCGTTAGGAGTGAAGATAACAGTTTTATTTTCCTTCGATCGACCGTCGACCAACCCAAATCTCAGCAAATAACGGTAATTAACTTTACTTTAATGAACAGTCTTCATCTTTCGATGTTTTCTTAACACAACTCGATCGCAGAGTAAGATCCTGAAAGAGCACCTTATATAACGCATTGCATATATTCTTTACGAAACTAATGAGACAATAAGAAGTATTTGATATATTCCACTGACTAATATTTCCTTTATAACCCTTCACCAATTCAAAACATGCCATTTTTTTATTCAAACTAACTTCATGATCACTTGGAGATCTTCATTTGGTAACGACCGAGTTTGGCACGCAGGTACAGTTATACTTCAGGAATGATTCGCCTGGAGGGCATGTTGACCTCTGCGTCGGACACTCACATTCGCACGTGTTTGTGTTCAGCACTTTCCCTTTTCTGATGCATCGTTCTTTGACTCTCTGCTTGCAGTCACAGTCGCAAATGCCAGCATTCCATTCATGGTTTGGAGATTTGTCGCAGAATTTGGGTGCGGAGTTGCACTCACAGTGGCAGATTTTCTCATTCCAGAACATTTTGGCTGGGTCGCACGAGCTGCTATTGTCCTGTTTGCATTTGCACTTGCACTGGTCCTGGGTGAAGTTGTGGATTTTGACGTCACACTCCGACTGGCGCGTAATGCAGTCACAGGCGCACTCTGTATGATTGTAAACGGTGATTTTCAAAGGTTTGAAAACCTTATTATGGTCTAACCTATGCAAGACCTGTAACACGACCTCTTCCTGGCGTTTAACTGTGCAGTTTTGGACCTGTTGAGTCGCTGAAAAGACAAGTACATGTAACCTCTTCATTTAGAGTCGAGAGGCAGGGTGACATTAAAGATGACAAACACAATCACAGGGATAATAACAATGATAATTACTATAAAAATAATGGGCATACAAAAATTTTCAACGCTTTAAGACGATTTAATTCGATAACGTCCCACTACATCAAATACATCACTACAACAGAACATCAAAAAACTACGTTTCCGAAAAACTACGAGGTTTCTTCTCAAAAACTTAACACGCATTACGTGATAATCACAAGCTCCATTCACATTACACAAGCGTTACATTTCGTTACATGCTCCACTGTAAGCGTTACAATTTGAGACATTCTATATTGATAACTGACAATAACTTGGACATGGACGAGGAGAAGGAAAACGACGTTGGTAATAATATGATAATGAAATGACCACAACGACGACAAAAAAAAAAACGACATCAACAGTGACATTGAGGACAAGAAAACGGACACGGATACGATCACGAACACGGATACGGGCACGAACACGGACAAGGACACGGACACGATCACGGACACGGACGCAGACGCGGACACGGACACGGACACGGACGCGGACACGGACACGGGCGCGGACATGGACAATTAATGAATGAACTTACTTACACATCCACCGAGGCACCGGTGGAGTACGACCGTATGCGGTAAGTAATCTTCGTTTGCTGGCCTTTCCAGTTCAACCATGGTAGGAAAGGGTCGACATTCAAAACGATAAAAGGAAAGTGTATGGGTTGGCTTAGTTGGGTTCCCTGGAGAGGACAGAAGACAGATTTAACAAAGTAGCTGAGACTTACCAGTCTGCAGAATCTCTTCGACAAAAGTTTATCCCCTTAAACTTCCATCGTGTGAGTTGAGGCTCGAAGCCCAGGAATTTTCCAGGAGGTCTCGGAGAGTTTGAGTAAAACAGAAAGGTGACGGCAGAGACAACGCAGCAAAATGATGCATTTACATTAAAAATAAGAACATGAAATCGCTAAAATGCGAGGCCTAAAAGCCGAGGCCCCGACGGAAGATTGCTCTCGCCCCTACCCCCAACGCTGGATTTACATGCATATTTTCCGAAAACAGGGAGATCTGAAGCTGTTAGAGAAGGAAGCGGACAAATCTGGCTATTCGCAAACAATGATTCTCAGGAGAACAAAAGCAAAGTGTACTTTAAAGTCGCCTTTCCTCCTCAGTGTTGCAAGCGTGACATCTGAATCATAAATAATATCGATATAAACAAAGTCCACATTGAACCGGTAAACTTAAATCAAGACCAATTAATTCGCGTGGGTATGCCACTGCTGTGAATACATGACGTTCAGATTCAGGGCATTTTTTGATTTAGAGACGAAAATAATCCAGAACTACATTGGTTTTTTTTCTACTTCGCTCTGTGATTGGTTCAGAAAACCAGCACCACTTTCTTCTACAAATAAGTTGCAAAAACTCGTCTTAATCACTCCGAGTTTTTTCCGCACTGCATGCAGCGTGCTTGTTTTTACTTCGTGTTATCAATATTCCTTTGTGTCGTTTTTATCTGCCGTGATTGGCCATTTCGTTGACATTGTTTTTGCAGTGGCAGCGCCCCTCCTGCATTTATTTTGGGTAAATAAAAACTTAACGCAGAAGGAAGAAAAGTCGACAGGTGTACACACACACAAAAAAAACTGCCCCACCACTGTTTTGGTTTACGGTACTTAATCAAAGAGCTCTGCATACAATGTAGGTTGGTACGGGAATCGGGTTAGCTACTGCGCATGCCTGCTTACATTACTTCCAAAGCCCTTCCTCCACCTACATTTGGTTGTAGTAATTCCTTGTGAGTGTGCAGCTACTTTGCAAAACATTTCCGTATTTTTCGATGAAACTGTGGTAACGTATTCATCAGCGGCCACTCTCTTTGTAATGGTGGAGTCCTGAGGATTATTACAAACAAATAAAGAAGAGGGGCATAATACTATACTTTACCGTTTAGCTACAACCCATCGTCTTTCAGTCCTCAGCATTTTGTGTTGTCATGTCAAACAACTTCCACTCGTCACTAATCTCTCTAAAAGAACTTTAAGCCATTTCCTAACAATTATTTGATGGATTGTAGCTTTCACACATTCTCCTTGAAAATGATATCGTAAAAACGTTTGATTTCTTGACAAATTGATTTCTCCAATGATTTCACAACAAATTACGATAATTGCTGGAAAACACACAATTGCCATGCGAACATTGTAAACTCTGAAAACAACCTCGTAAAGAAAATCCGAAAAAACGGCCGTTTCCTGAATTGAACTTTTTTTAGTTATCGGTAACGTTTCAAGCTCATTTTATTTGGATTGCACACTTGGTCAGCGGAATGACTGAAGACATGAAGAGAGAGTGATGAGCTGTTCAAAACAGCGTACTTACATCGTCGAATTCAGGCTGGTCAACGTCGTAAATTTGTCCCTCTTCTTCTGTCAGGAACTTGGGCCCATCGAGATCATCAAACCAAACGCTCTGAAACATTTTCAATTTTTATAAGTTCAGTTTCTGATTTGAAATCTAAAGGTTAAGTTTCTATGAGAAGCATTCAGAGTCTTGAGGATCATGTTGCAGAGAGAGAGAGATTTGGTCCCGGAGGAAGCAGGATCCGAAGGTAGATATGCAGATTTGGATATGCGCAAGAAAAGTGATCTCACTCTTAAGTTTTTTTTTTTTATCTCAAAAATCCTGTGGCAGAGAAAGAGGTTCGTGCTCAGAAGAGGTTAGATGAAAATGCTCTGGTTTGAATTTGTGCTAGAAAAATTTAAGTACGAATTTATCTAAATGATATTAAAACTGTGACAAAATCTCCACTGGGCTTTTCATGAACTTCACAGTTCTGTTAAACGGCAGTAACCACATACACAGGTTTCGTGCTCATTTTCAGTCTCCATGAATAGTGAATGTCTCTTTTTAACCAATATGAAATTTAGTAGCACTACCTTTAGAGTGGAAAGCACAAACTGTACGAATGTTCAGATTTTGGAATTTCATATTTGGCTAAACGTCCCTAATGAAAAACTGAGTCATTTTTGTAAAAGTCAGAAACTTTGCGACACGACCAAAACAAATAACTTTAAATTCATACATCAAGATGAAGTTCTTTGAATCGGAGTGTCATTCCATTCAAATTTCTTTGATCGTAGAAACACCAGCGACGTTAGCATTATAAATATCTTTAAAATAAAATCGATCGCACTTCTATACAAAAGATTGGGGTTTGGTTCTTTTATTTACATAGGTAACCTATAGACGATGGGTATATTTTTCTAACCTGTGCAAACACATGTTATTTTGGATAAAAGAGGCGTTTTTATTAGTTTTAAGCAAATTCTAGGTTAGTCGATCATAATGTAAGTTCTAAGATATGAAGCTGTAAATAAGGCCATGTCCCTGCTATCTTTTGAAGATTTCCCCGACTGGTCGTCTTCTTAAACATTGTTGAACAAATTTTAAAAGGCACTGAAAAGTTTGTTGCAGCCTAAGTGCAAAATATTGTTTTCAATTAGCTGAGTTTGCGATTCAATGACAGCAAAAGTCTAGTTTTTCTTGGGAAAATTTAGTTCATAATTTGAAAGTCAATTTTTGCCTCTATGTGCTTTTGGAGAATCTCTGTGAAATTTCTATCAAAAGTGTCCTTTGTGTGTGGCCCCTCTTTTGCATTTTCCGTTTTAGAAATTCATTCATTTGTTAAAAATGATCATGGTTGGTTTGTAACTTGTGATAGCCGTGTAGATAAGAAAACCTGACCGCTAAGAAAAGTTTAAAATGGGAAACTGTATGATCCAGGATATTAACGTTAAGAATCAAAACGTCTTGTGGAAAAAAGCAATTGCAGTCACTAAGGGATGCTACCTGCGCATTTCGAGGTGTTAAAATGTATTTCTTATTGTCGCATACGAATAATTTTTTGTCGTTTTTGGAAATGAAAATTACCGTTCTTACAAAATTACAGGGCTAAACATTTTACCCGAGAAACATTAAGTTTTATTCAGCTCATGGATCGAGTGTCTGGAACATAACAATTTCAAACTTCGCAAGAGGTGCTAAAATGACTCAGTCTTGAAAATTTTCTCTTCCTGGTTGGATATTTTGTCGCATTTGCCTTTCATTAAACTGGATTTTAGCGCCTTATCTCTCATACATTTTTACTTGAGCCTAATAAAAAAAACAGCCAAAACAACGTAATTGAACCAATGGAAATTTATATATTGAAAACATATCAGATAAAAATGAAAACTTTTATGGGAGATCACATCAGTATACTAAGCCGTTCAACATTGCAGTTTGTTATCAAACAGAAACTTTTTTCTTGAGAAAAAAAAGTGGAGGAATATATGGCTCTGATCAGAACGGGTTTTTCATGCGGTTAAATGTATTCTCCCATAATTCTTGTTAGAGGAACAGCCTTGATCCTAATAAAGGCAAGCGAGCTGAGCTACCTCAAGCGACAACTACATTTTATCTGAATTTCATATTCATGGCCAATATAGCAAGATATCACTTAAAAAATGTTTAAAAACTTTACCTCGGTACCCGATGTGATCTGCAATGAATTGAACCATACTAACGCTACGCAAAACAGAATTTTGAACATATTGTTTGAATCGAATACAGCAGGATGGATTAGTCAACTGAAGTGGTTTTTGGTGCTGTTTCTTTCTGCAGACGATCTCCTCTTTATCACGGCTGCCTATATACACGCGTTCAGTAATGGATATACCAAACTCACTTTTAAACAGTTGACGTTAATGCTAAGAGTGTCAATATGTTGAATACATCCGCGAAGGATTGAGTTTCCATGGAAACTTGGGTCACTTTTAACGTAATCTTCTTAAGAAGTATCCTTTTTTTCCCATACATTGTCATCAAAGGCGCAAAGTTTTCTTACCAACTTGCGACTCATTGCATTATTTTTATCGTTCGCAAACATGAAGACATTCTTTTTATGGGAGGTGTAAAATTGCGTGTCGATGCTTTTTTGTAACAAGATATACCTTGGCAATCCTCCTTTTCGAAATTGCTAACGTATACTTGTAACAAACACCCATTTAAGGAAACCTATTTCCTTCTAAAATATTTACTTCAACAAAAATGCCGAATGGAAGCTCACTCTTAAACACTTGAAAGAAAAGTATTTTATTAATTGAAACTGTAGTTCATTTTACTGCAGTCAGGAAAAAGAATATCATATTTAACTGAAAAGGTTTCCCACAGTAAAACTTCATAATTTGTTAAATTTAATCAGGAAAATTGAGTTAGTTCTTAACAAACCAGAATGGACGGGAAAGCTATTTTAAAATAAAGCATAGTTAGAGAATAAAAGTGTTCAGTATTTTCGACACAAAACCATGGCTTTTCAAAATTTATCGCCCTTCGAAGAGTTTCCCAAGCATTCCAATTTATTGAAAAACAAATTCCAGTGAAAAATCTCTTCGTGGGTAACAATGGACGCGAGGTAAACTCAATTCTTGCAGGCTGAGTTTACTTTTCTTCGAAGAATTTGAAACGAGATTTCAGTTTATCATTTGATATCTCTCTGATTTTACAAAATTTGTATTTGCATTGTGTGTATCTCAGAGTCTTTGTTCGTGCGAAAACTTCACATTTAAAGTGCATACTTAGTATGCAAACTGATATCGTTTGTAACGATGTAATTCTTTACGAAATACTTCCTAATTACTTTGTAAACATCCCATCGTTTACAGAGGACACTTACAATTGAGTCGTAAATGTGATTGCTGATTTTTATTCATCCAATTTCCTGTCACGTTTTCGAGCAAACTGTCGTGACTCATAAAAAATATTTTAACTATTATTGAATACTGGTTTGCCCCTTTACCAGTGTTCACTTTGGATTTAACCATTTCAAAGTTTTCCTGAAGGTTGTAAAAGGAAATAGTTGATTTGAAAAATAATAACAGTATTACAATGAGGAAATGACTTGAACTACTTTCTGGTTCTTTCCGCTGATGTCAAGACATAACTGAAATTACAATCCTGGACTTAGATAAGAGATCTACAATAACTAGCCAATTCGCGAAGCGCCATAGTCTAGGAATAGAACAAATTTTTATTGTCTATAATTTGGAGTTGTGAAGAACGTTTTAGATCGGGGTCGGTAAGGGGACGAAGAACTTCGTAAGTTCATGCGGATGGGAATCCCTCGAGTATTTTCAGCGAAATGACTACGATAAATTAAAAGGACAAAGATAGATTTAGTGACGACTCGGGCATTTAGTCTTTGGCGCCCTTTTCTGCGAATTCGAACGTAAACTTTATAACCTGTGCATCATAGTAAGGTTAGGGAGTTGAGCGCAGTTTTACGTGCGTAAAAATGATGGAGGGATGAGCTTGGGAATCAACGCAACTTTGCTCCTTCCGATAAAATTTTAGGAAAAGAAAGATGATAAGGAAAAAAAAATCTGCCTCTCCGATAGGATTAGAAAAACGCTTTCAAAATAGCTGATCCCAGCCGTTTGCAGGACATTTGCCACAAATAAACCGACATAATTTGACTTTATTTTGGCCACTGTAAAGAGTTTCCAAAGCTGAAGTTTCTAGCATCAGTCCTTTGTTAGATAAACTGAGTCCTGCGCAGCTCGACTCTTGATATCTCAAGGGCATACGTGGGTTCCTACGTAATTATAGCTGAGACTCAGTCTACCAGTTCCTAAATTTTTCTAACTCGCTCGAAAAAGTTACTGAGGCATCTTTCTTTATTCCGCGATCGAGAAATGGACTAATTTTGTCCTAACCTGCCCTACTCAGTCGTCAATTTTTCGCTTGAATTTCAAGCTATTTTACGGAGGAATAATTGCACAAAATTTTCCCATCAAAATTATAGATGAATAGTTAACCATTCTCTTGCAATGATGAGAACTTATGAAATAATGAGAACTTACGTCAACCAGAAGCATTTCTCGGTCCTTTGAAGTTAATTTCAAAAAAGCAAATCTATTCATTTATCAATGCGAAAAAAAGAAAAAGAACCATAAGATGGTCAGGATATGTGAAAGTCTCGGTACCACGGCGTCGCTTTATGAACAAAGCAATAGCAATCACGGTTTCTGAAATTCTCTTATTTCCGTAGTTAGAGAAGAGTACTTTTCATCGAGCGGTCTTAAAGACACTTCGAGGTATCTTAATAACTTGATCAGCTGTTATTGGTTTGAAACCTTGAAATGCATGCCCGGTTCCTATATCTTTCCAAAAGGCGACAAAATCTAACGAGGTGCTAATTATAATTAAACGCTCAAACATCGGCTTAGATACTCTTTATGGTGGCTCATTTACATCATAAACTCAGCTGATAAAACCAAGCTATCTGCTGTAATACCCTTCGTCGACGCAGCACCACAGTTTCTTAGAAACTCACTCCCTCTGTTCATTTGATACGATATACCTTTTTCTGAATTTTTTTTTTCAATAGATTCAAACAGGAATTATCTTTGATTATTATGTCGTCAATTCAAAAAATGTCAGTGTCTTCTGAATTAGCGGAAAACGCTTTCAATGAAACTGGTAGAGATCAATTCTGCTCTTCCTAACGTATTATGCCTGCCCTCAAAAGGATCGCTAAATTATACTTTTGTTTTGCAAAACTCTAGTCGTAAATTCGAATTTGGTACCGCCGCAACAGTGGGAGTAGTTATCGCCGATAATTGCAATATGAGAGTGTTTCTCGCGGCAAGAAACGTTGTCATATTGCAACAACTCTGTGATGGATGAATTTTGTGTAATTTCAATAAAATAGCAATATAAGGGAGTGTCAGAAGTTCTAAGCCCTTCAGTAGATGTTTGTTAAAAGCATGATTTAAATAATTATGTTTTCATGAGATGTTTCCATTGTGAACGCCATAAATTATGCGGCTTATTATGCTGGCAGAATTTTCAACGTCTTATTCCGAGTTTTTCAGCAACCGAGGGACATTGTCAGAAGCTATAGCCTAGTGATAAAAATAGTTGTTTGTGGTAAAATATTTTCCCGTGGGTATTTAAACTACCGTAAAAAATTGGAAATGAGTTAAAAAAAAGTGTTCGAGCTTTCGCCGACCCACCGCGTTGTCAGCTGTTTGTATTTAAAATTTGACCGAGAAGAGTCAGTTTTAAACAAAAGTAGTTCTATTTTATATTTACATAAGTGCTTCAATACACTTTCAACCGCTTTTTTTTATGCTTTTATACTTATTTTCAAAGTCATACACCCCACTTTGCTGTATTTCTTTGTAATATGTATAAACACCTGCAAAACTGCAGACAGACTTAGCTTTTCAAGTAATAAGTGAAAAAAAAGTCAATAAAACTACTGAATTATTCAAGTTTGCAGCACTTTTGCAAAGATTGTTTAGTGAACAAAAGTTCAATTGCAAAAAAAATGCGTCCGCGTTATCTGAAGTGGCCAAAAACAAGTGCGCAGGGTGACAGAAATGTCTGGTTATTTCTCCTATTAATATATGTTTTAAGGTTTTGGGATGTAAAAAAGAAAGGTACTTTGAGCTAGATGAAGTGCATGGAGTCTATTATTTTGATATAATCCGATATATTAGCACACGCATGGCAGTAAAATCCTCAAGCATAAAAAAGTTACAGCTGAGCTTTGTCAAGATCTCAAAAATTGACTTCAAATTTATCAAAAACTCGAGCAGATTTATCGAGATAATGAGTCTCACAAAAGAGAGAGGTAGTTTATAGAGCAATAAAAGTGGCACAGGCTGAAACAAACCCGAAATTGGCCAATTCGGGTCGAATCTACCGCTCTTTGTTATTACAGTCAGTTCGGTTAAAGAGGTCAACGATATCGTAATTTCCAGTGTGGTAATTTCGCGCAATTATTAATGAACATTGCAATCGACCATCTGTTTTTAAGCAATTAATTATAAAGGAATACCTCTCACCATTGATAACATCTCCGCCACGCTATATATTGGAAATTTAGCTTTTCATATCACTTACTTAAAACAGCAGCAATGAAGATGATAGCGCTTTCGACGTTGCTGGTTTTATGTTTCCTGAATCGTAACACAGTTTCTGCGCGGTTGAACCCAAAGCCGATTGTACCCAACTCTTCGAAGGTAAGTTTTGTTCAACAAAAATTTATCCTTTTACAGTGTTGCGAACAGTAATACCACCTAAGAAAATGGGTAAATATATGATATACCATCTGGGGCTTTAATACGTGTTATCAACAGAAAAAAGAATTAATTTTGGTGTTAAAACGTTGTTTTTCTATTTCATCCCGTCTAAAATTACGTGTGAAACTGATAAAACTGAATCAAATGCTAATATTTTGGTATATGAAGGAAAGGAGTTGACAAAATTCTGAAACTTGGGGAGATAAATGATCACTTCTACCTCTGCTTTAATGAAATAGTGAAAATATATCCATTGGAAAAGCAAGTTTAGTGACTAAAGAATTGTGCCTTCACCTCATTCAAAGTGAATGCCCTGAATTTTACCGCCCACTAAAACCATTGACTATGAAGTTTAACGAGCAATAATACAAAAGCGATAACAAAATTTGAATATAAATTATGTTTTTTTCCTTTACTAATACCGAAGCGTTTAAAATTTTTAGGGTTAATTCTCTCGTACCCTTTTCCATTTTCATGGGTTTTTTTTTTGTTTATTTTAAAGATCTTGTTTAAAAACTCTGTAGGCTTCAATTTTCCTGTCTCGTCAAACTTGTTTAAATACTCTTCCCATTGTAGGACTTATCTCAAAACAGGTGTAAAATAAGTGTGGCATATTCATTAAAATATTGTTTTGCGTATAAAGATATGAAGGAATCAATTACTGATATATCAAGTTTTGTAAATATGTTGACACAATTTTTTTACTTCCGGTCTCAAATCTTTCTCGAGGCCGGACGTAACACCCTTAAATCTTGATGGTTTCTTCCTGGATTTGTCGTAAACCAAGGACATTGGAAGGTTTAAAGATATCTAAGGAGAAGTTGGTTAAATTGTACTGAATTTTAATTGTTTTATTCCACAGTACTGTGGACGAGAAATAGTATCACTGCCAGCTGGTGTTAAATATTGCTTTGACATGATTTTAATTGAATAATAATATCATTTGACTTGGCGCCAGATAAAACTCCCACTCCGCCACTGATAATTTTTCTGAATAATCGTAAAAAACTTCACTGATGAAGATGAGACGTGAATGATTATACGAACAGTTAGTCTAGTGTTGCATTTTAAGAAAAGTGGTTTTACTTTGATCAAATAGAAACCAGCTGACGTGTTGCACAAGTACAAGACAAGAGAAACAAAAATGGCCTCCAGTACAGAGCGTCAGATGGACAAACGGGTCTCAAAAGGCAATTATTTAACACAGCACAGTAAGATTACAACCGTTTTTCTGGACGCCATTCTTTTTTTCTACTTTCTTTTTCCAGCTTATTTACTTAGTGCCTCCTTCGGGTACCTACTCTTAAAGTTTATTGTCTCTTCTATGAAAATTTAAGTCCTCTCAAGGGAAAAAGTAAGTAACATTCTATCCTTATGATGTTTTTTTTTTTTGTTTTCACTCCCTTATATTCTCTTTGAAAACAACTAAATGAATTTTTACTAAAATGAAACGTCAATGCATGGTGAGAAGAAATTTTTTCAACTTTGATTACTAAGCATGATTAGCTCTCTTTCGGAGAGTTAGAGGAAGGCGTTTAATCAACTGAATTTGGTATTCAATTATTAGTTTTTACCCTAGAAGAATAAAGAAGCAATTGATTTATCATAAGAAAGAGTTTTTTTTCCCGGAAATTTTCCGAAAAAAACCTAAGTAGCACTCGACCTAATGAGTGCAAATGTGAGCAGCTTGACTCCAGGCCCCGGTTGTTCGAAGGTCGGATAAAGCTATCCATTGGACAAATCTCTATTTGCTGGATAACGCTATACGTTATGCTATCACTTATCCACTGGGCCGCGATTTATCCGTTGGATAGTGTTAGCCGCCTATTTTACAACTGGGCCCAGAGTTTCCTCGGCTTTTATGATGGGAGTGGAAAAAGAGAAAGATGCTGCCGCCATTTTGAAAACTGACAAGCCCCTAAGAAAGATACTACTGACGTGATCTGTCACCATGAAAATTTCCAACAACTGTAGCTAGCCTATTATTTATATCGTGTTATGTTGGCTGCACGAATTTGCTCATTGTTTGAATCATTGTCAAATCTTTAGAATTGCTCAACTATTTATTGTTGATGTCATCTTCCACAGCACAAAGAAACCTTCTCTAAACTACTAAATTTTTTTTTACCTTTTCCGTGATGAAGAAAGAGGTGAAAAGGTCGTCGATTTAGATATGAAGTATTGCGGGCCATATCCCACTATTGTGCAAGTGAAAGAACCAATAAAATACGGAAATTTTTATCTACCCAGCTTTGTCGAGCTTCATCGCTGCGCTGGAGGCTGTGCATTGCACCCAAGTAAGTCTATTGGATGATCACCAATAAGAAATTTTCCAGGATAGTATGAATTTGCTCTAAGGGTTCATTTCGCTGAGTCTCGTAACACCCGAGCCGGAGTAATCGCTACAGCCAATCATAGGAAAAGAAAATATTAGAAGAGCCAATGAGAACTCCTTGAAGCGCGGGAAAAACACAATTAAATCTGATTGGTTAATGGGGTGTCTCGTGGACCAATCACGGAGCGAAGTTAAGTAAAAACAAAAGTAAAGCAATACCAAAGCAGTCCTAGAAAGATAGCGACGCTCAATTGAAACTGTAATATTGCATTTTGTTATTGGTCAAAACAAAAAAAATAACCGACGATGGAGGGTGGGCATAAGAATGTAACAGAGCCTATGGATGAATTAGGTAGATTTTATCATGACACTATAAAAATCTAACCCTGACCCCAGCCTCCCCCTCCCTGTGATAAATAATGTTCCCCCCTTCCCCCATGAGAATATGAACTGTTGATATCCTCTAGCGAGTCCCTTACTTCTTGCCAGAAAAAATACACGAGCTACTTTGATTTATGAACGCATTTTTTCTTTTCAGGTGTTGGTTTCTGTAACGTGACTAAGGAAGAGAGTATCACAATTCACGTGACCGTGCATGGACACGATAGTCAAAATCAACGATTGCAAGTTGTAATGAGTAACCACACTGAGTGCACTTGCGCATGCGTACCACAAAAGTGTTACCCCAAGCAACGATTCAATACTGAGCATTGTAGCTGCGAGTGTATTGATATTAAGGATAAGGACAATTGTCAAGCAACAGACATAAAACAATGGGATAAGAATCATTGTCAATGTATATGCAGTATCGTACACAATTGTGACCTGGGATATAAATTTGATTTTAAAACGTGTCAATGTGAAGTTGACAGGGCAGGAATGCTAGCAAGGCTTTAGGGTTACCTTCGACCACTAATTTAGGAAAAAATGTGTTCTTGTGAAAGGTAATGTGCTGGTAATAAAGGGTACTTTTAAGAGAAGTGGTGGAGTGAACTCGCATGAAAGATGACCTTAGACATTTTCGTCAGCAGTCTTCTCTTACAAAGCTTAATAGGCTTACCTCGGTTGAAGGCTATGTCCAATGCACCTTTTGATTGACCTAGTACTCAGGCCCGTTTCCACTCAGGTCTTCAGTTCAACACAGTTCTCGGCCTTTTTCAACCCAGACAGGCCTGCTTCAAACTAGTACTCAAAGCTTTCTCGACAAAGTCACCACGTCTTCCTTAACCCGTACCCAAGCCTTTTCCAACCTTATTCCCAGGCCTTCGTCAAGGCAGTCCCAGGCCCTCTTATCGATCTGACGCGTCAGTAGGCTTGTCCCGATTGTGCTTGTAAACTGTTGGAAAGTTGCTCACTGGAATGCCAAAAAAGTTCCTACTAATTGCCAAAAATCCTATCTAAGTTTCAAAAGTTGTAACCTGGATTTTGTAATATTTTCATATTAAACGTTCATTAAAAAGTCCATGACCGTCCATAACAATGAATAAAGGCTGATAGTTTCTAAAGAAACTGTTTGGGGCTGCGTCGGTGGGGGTAACGAAATAATTTGGATATATCAACAAAGTTGAAATGGTAAATTGGCCACCATAACGAGATATATCAGCAAAGTTGAAATGGTTACGGTGGCCAATTTACCATTTCAACTTTGTAGATATATCCAAATTATTACGTCCATAACAATAATTACCAACATAGGTTAGGAAAATAGCTTGAAACACTAGTTAAAAGAATTGCTCACAAATATATGGGAAAAATTTAAAGATACTCTAAAGTCTAACAGAACAAAACATTCGAATCCCGTACAGGCCTGATTTTTTTTTT